AAAAAAAAAAAAAGGCAGGCTCACCGTGTTTAGATGTGGATTTAATTAGTTTTAAGAGTTCTATATAGAAATTTAAGTATTAAACAACTTTTTAATTTTTATTTTTTGTAGAAAGAAGGAGGCCAAAGGCCTAAGTTAGAACTTGCCGGGGGTACGACACCCCAAATTTTAATAAAACATCGCATTGGAATACAAGGTATTCCCATTTGATATAAATTAAATAGAAGTGAAAAATTATATATTTATGCTCCACATTTTCGATATGAAGTCATCAAATAGTTATTCATTTATATTAAATATTTTTTATATGGAGTTGTTGACATCCGAACTAGCACTACCTTTTACCGTATAGACGTGGCATCTTATACAAACAATTCAACCTAAAAACGGTAGGCCGGAAATAAAAGATCATATTCGTTTACCGGACAGTGAATGACTCACAATCCAACCTAAAAAGTTAGGCCGAGATAAAAGGTCATATATGTTTATTGAACAGTGAACAGTTCGGCGTGAAACCATGGTCCAAGCAACTGAGTTCCACCTTTTCGCATCGTGTTCGGTCCACGACCACGAAGTAGCTCGGTGTGTACGTCGGTTCCGTGAAGAACTCGACTATCCCATCACAAAGGAGCCGACCAAAAATCCTTGAAGACCGATCTCTGACAACATTAAATACGGAAAAGACAGATGTCTATCGAACTAACGAAAAACATCATCAGGCGTGGGAGCCACTCTGCAGAGCCGCATCTCGTTGTTGTGTCACACTAAATGGCAACATGCGAGCATCGAGGGCCTTACTCGTGGGTTTCATACTATAAATACTCCTCATTTACTGTAAAAACAATAGATTCGATTGATCTCTCTTTAAGAATAATCTGTACAGTTGGTTAATATATAAAATACAGGTTCTCCCACCTCATTCACTATTTAACCTATTTCTACTTTGGGAATTTTCCAAAACCATTGTTTTGTATTTTGTATAAACAACATATTGGCACTGGAAGAAGGGCTTGGTTTGTTTTAAAGTGACTTTGACCAATAATGACACCGAAGATCCGTCCATTAAATTTTCGTTAAAAATGATTGTATGATCTATTTTCATAAGGAA